TATATCCATCGCATCCAATTACCACGCGTGGTATTTCCATCGTATCGAATTACCACGCGTGGTATATCCATCGCATCGAATTACCACGCGTGGTATTCCCATCGTATCGAATTACCACGCGTGGTATTTCCATCGTATCGAATTACGACGCGTGGTATATCCATCGCATCCAATTACCACGCGTGGTATTTCCATCGTATCGAATTACCACGCGTGGTAGTTCCATCGTATCGAATTACGACGCGTGGTATATCCATCGCATCCAATTACCACGCGTGGTATTTCCATCGTATCGAATTACCACGCGTGGTAGTTCCATCGTATCGAATTACGACGCGTGGTATATCCATCGCATCCAATTACCACGCGTGGTATTTCCATCGTATCGAATTACCACGCGTGGTAGTTCCATCGTATCGAATTACGACGCGTGGTATATCCATCGCATCCAATTACCACGCGTGGTATTTCCATCGTATCGAATTACCACGCGTGGTAGTTCCATCGTATCGAATTACGACGCGTGGTATATCCATCGCATCCAATTACCACGCGTGGTATTTCCATCGTATCGAATTACCACGCGTGGTAGTTCCATCGTATCGAATTACGACGCGTGGTATATCCATCGCATCCAATTACTCGCGTAGAACTACCACGGGTGGTGTTCCCTTCGCGTCGAATTACCACGCGTGGTGTTCCCTTCGCGTCGAATTACCACGCGTGGTGTTCCCTTCGCGTCGAATTACCACGCGTGGTGTTCCCTTCGCGTCGAATTACCACGCGTGGTGTTCCCTTCGCGTCGAATTACCACGCGTGGTGTTCCCTTCGCGTCGAATTACCACGCGTGGTGTTCCCTTCGCGTCGAATTACCACGCGTGGTCTTCCCTTCGCGTAGAACTACCACGCGTGGTACTCCCATCACGTAGAATTGCCACGCGTGGTATTTCCATCCTGCTGAGTCACCACGCGTGGTGTTCCCTTCGCGCAGTACACTAGTGAAGAAGGTGTGAGGAATTTTAATGCGACCGTTATTAAGGCGTCCACACCTTCAGCGATTATCGACGATTAAGTGTCTATCTATCTGGTGTCAATTAAGGAGGCAATAATAATTCCACGACCTCGGACTATATTTAACCTAAGCAGCTCTTCTGTCAAGCTGGTCGATTCTATTGTGTCGTTTTCCAACGGGTCCTTTCCTCGAGTTCGAGACGTCGTATTATGCAGAGACTCTCCTGGTTATTCTCGACGAATCAGGCCGGGATTTAAGAATACTCCGAGTTGAATCAATAAATGGCCCAGATGATAAGACGACCTCCATGATGGAATACTATAAACGCGAGTTCCTTCCAACGGTGTCCCGAAAATAAACCCAGGATATCACTCGGTCCGGACCTTATATCGTTTCATTTAATGATTTACGTAATACGATTAGATCCTCTTTGTGGAACTTTCTCATCAGCTTACCCGTTCTTTTCGAGATGCTTTTCAAATCTATCGCCAGGCGGAGAAAAGTTGAATCGAAGGATTTTAATTAATTCCCGTCTTATTATTCCACGAAGAGGTCAACGCCAGAAGCATCGATCGTAATTGGATTCCGAAGAAAACTTCCTGATTGCCTCATCTGCGTGCCAAAGACTCGAAGGACTGTTCCTCGAAACTTTTGTCTCTGTTAATGAAATAACATCGTCTCTGTCAGAGTGCGATGTTCGTTAAATCTTTGTCAAGATTTGTTTTTCGGCGATTAAAAATCGCGGCCGTATTTCACCGATGGATGTCCGCAAACAGCGATAAATTTGCGTTCGAGTCGCAAATGCTGCAGTTCAAACAAAAGCGCATTTTCCGTGTTTGCCCACCCTTATCAGTAATTAATGGACGTCTCGCCCAAAAAACTGCGGGCTTTTTCAATCAAGTCTGACCCCGAAATCGCGCGAACTCGCTGGACAGCTTCCATAGGCAGGCTTGTTTTGAAAATGCGCCTTCTTTGACGGTGTTTGTCCCAGATTTGGAAAGTTTGCCTCGAGTTAATGCGGGCGAAACGATCTCGGGAATAATTAATTCCCCGTTCGAGACGTCTGGAATCGAAGATGAATCGAATTTTCCCGAAAGCAATTCGAGGATTTCTTCCGTCAGATTAAATTTCCCGGAGGACCGAGTGATTTTCAAGGCTGACAATTTCACGTTTTAATTTCGTTACTCCTCCGAAGATTTATACGACTGCGAATTCCTCATCCGTGAACTCGAATTCCAAATTTCTTCGCGAGGGAGTTAGAAGCTAACAATAGGCACCCATTGTGTATCAGTAGGCAATGGCATTCAACGAGAACAAACGTTCAATTTCCAACTAACCCAGGGGTTGAGTCGCAATTTTCCTAGCCCCGGGGCAGAAACAGCATCGAAGACGATAACCATAACGGGAGATGTGTCCTAAGGCAAGAAGGGCTCGTCGAGCTCTATGGGTCGCTGACGCTTCGTTGATCCTCTAAAGACTTCGTATATCAGAATATCCACCATATTAGAATAATATTAGCTTCTAGCTGACACTCGGCTGCGCTCCGAATGTGCCTGGAATCGTAATAAATCCCGAATGTAACGCGACACCGTTTCGAACGATTTATCTTCTTTTTGAATTAATGTTCCTCTTAAAGTGCTGCTCGGTTATGGTGGGGGACATTGAAACTCAACTGGGTTAGTGGTACCATACTTCTCGGTTGCTAGGTCCAGTTCAACTTCATGGTAATCAGTTACCAACAGTACACTGTACCTAGTAGCATTTATTAGGAACCAATTAGACTTCGTTGTAATCACAAGTGTCTAATGGTGTACAGGATCTAGCATTTGTTTAAATGTGCAACAGCAAGCTGCAGTATCCAGCAGACTCATCTTAGTGACCAACTATGTACAGCACCTAGTGACATTCACTAGTACCTGATGCTACTCTGCAGTCTTCTATAGTGTTCACTTAGGCCTAACAGCAATCAGCAGTGTCTAATAATGTACAGGATCCAGGACTCATTTAAATGTGCAATAGCAAACTGCAGTATCCAACAGACTCATCTAGTGACCAATTATGTACAGCACCTAGTAGCATTCATTAGGACCTGACAGTATTCTGCAGTCTTCTATTGTGTCCACTTAGGCCTAACAACAATCAGCAGTGTCTAATAATGTACAGGATCCAGGGCTCATTTAAATGTGCAACAGCATCCAGCAGTATCCAACAGACTCATCTAGTGACCAACTATGTACAGCACCTAGTAGCATTCACTAGTACCTGACGCTACTCTGCAATCTTCTATTGTGTCCACTTAGGCCTAACAGCAGTCAGCAGTGTCTAATAATGTACAGGTTGCATCACTCATTTAAATGTGCAACAGCAAACTGCAGTATCCAACAGACTCATCTAATGACCAACTATGTACAGCACCTAGTAGCATCCACTAGTACCTGACACTACTCAACAGTCTTCTATTGTGTCCACTTAGGCCTAACAGCAGTCAGCAGTGTCTAATAATGTATAGGTTGCATCACTCATTTAAATGTGCAACAGCAAACTGCAGTATCTAGCAGACTCATCTAGTGTCCAACAGTGTACAGCATCTAGTAGTCACCCAGCAGTGTGCTCATGTAGTCAGATCTTTCCAGTAGCCAGTCCAAGTAGCCTTCAAGCAGCCAGTTCCTTCCAAGATCAACGTTCAATGCACCTGCAACATTAAATGGCACCTCACAGTACTGAGTAGTAACTGCAGTATACAGTAGCACCTTACAGAATGTAGTAGTATCATGCATCCAGTAGTATTCCATGGGTAGTATCATGTGGACTCAGCAGTACTATGGCAGTGTCCAATAGTCCAGGATCCACTAGTGTCTTCTGGAGTAGTACCCTATGGAGCACCTTGTAGTCCCAGTGTCGTGTAGTGTCCAGTAGTAACCTATGGAACAGTGAAGCTTATTAGCATCTCAGATGGAACAGTATTAATATTGCATAACACTAATATAGTACCCAGTGTCCTGAACTCTGCTGATGTCACTTGGGTCCAACGGTACCCTATAATATCCAGTACCATTCTGCACTATCCAGTGCCTACTAGGTTCCAGTAGAACCTAGTAATACCCCAAAATGTACAGTGGTCCCTAATAAAACCCCAGGTCCCTAATAAAACCCCAGATCCCTAAGAGTCCCAAAATCCTTAGGGTCCAGTACTCTGCTGATGTCACTTGGGTCCAACGGTACCCTATAATCCAGTACCATTCTGCACTGTCCAGTGCCTACTAGTTTCCAGTGGGACCTAGTAATACCCCAAAACGTACAGTGGCCCCTAATAAAACCCCAAACCCCAAATAAAACCCCAGATCCCTAAAAGTCCCAAAATCCTTATGGTCCAGAACCACAAGTAACCGACTAACCTTCGACCCTAACTGGTCCCTAAGTATCTAAGAAGAATATAATCCCCAGAAAGTAGGTCTAAGTTTAAAAAAAGTAGACCTAGTTCCGTCGGTACGGTTTCCAGTGGGACCTAGTAATACCCCAAAACGTACAGTGGCCCCTAATAAAACCCCAAACCCCAAATAAAACCCCAGATCCCTAAAAGTCCCAAAATCCTTATGGTCCAGAACCACAAGTAACCGACTAACCTTCGACCCTAACTGGTCCCTAAGTATCTAAGAAGAATATAATCCCCAGAAAGTAGGTCTAAGTTTAAAAAAAGTAGACCTAGTTCCGTCGGTACGGGTAATTAATTTTCCGAAAGTGATCGTTGGTTGAACACCGCGCGTTAATTCTTCCGCGAGAAGCGTTTCGAGAGAGCTACACCGCCGGAATGAAAACTGACAAACTGCAGGGGTTAGCGAGCGGTTAATGACAACGCGATACCGTGTCGAGGTAGGGTGAGAGTCAATCTATGGGGTCAGCGGACAGGGCTGATACACGGCGACAGGCTGAGAATGTATTCGAACGAGCGTTTAACGCAAGCATAACCGGCGTGGAAACCGTGTTACAGAGAACGAGCACGAACCTATGGGGCGAGTGGATGGGTGTGATGCACGGCGACGAGGTGGAGTACGTGTTTGGGCATCCTTTGAACACGTCCTTGAAGTACAGCGACAAGGAACGAGAACTATCCCTCAGGATGATACTCTACTTCTCCAAGTTCGCCTACTTGGGGTAAGTTTTTCGCTGAACGCGTTATTATGTAACCAACGACTCGATGAAAAGTCGGGATCGTGGTCGTTTTTCGTTGTCTAGTTCCACGGGAACGGGCCATCTTTCCGGGAGTTTATCCCGCCGAGAACACTTTGCTTAGAAACTTCCTGATTTTGTAGGTCGAGGATACTTTAGGAAATAATTTTATCCGCGGCGGAATTTCAATTTTTGAAGGATACGGGTAGAACGGAAATCGCTAAAAAATTCATGGAAATTTGACACGACAACGTTCGACCTACTTTCGTGAAAAATTCTTGCGTGCTCCTTTCCGAATCCACTTATGCGATTGCGAGATACAAGGAAGGTTTTAGTACGGAAACAATGTCGAAGCTATAGGAAATAAAATCGAACGCGGAATATCAAGAAGGGTCAATTTCCCTTTCAGCCAAATGAAATTATCGATTGGATTTTTGTTTGTCCCGCATCCCCGTTGACCCGCTACTCCACGAGTCGGTGTGTCTCCGATATCGGACCTCGTGGTACTCTGTTCGCATTGAATTACCACGCGTCGTATTCTCATCGTATTAAATTACCACGCATGGTATTTGCATCGTATCGAATTACCATGCGTGGTATTCCCATCGTATCGAATTACCACGCGTGGTATTCCCACCGTATCGAATTACCACGCGTGGTATCTCTAACGTATCGAATTACCACGCGTGGTATTCCCATCGTATGGAACTACCACGCGTGGTATTCCCATCGTATGGAACTACCAC